TACTTTTAAGCGTGCCAGGTGTTAACGGCAGTTTCAGAACTGACGGGTTTTAATCCATGATGAATAATAATTTGAGGCACAGACTGAGCAGGGCGATATCCCAGTAATTTGGCGCATCACTTCAGCAAGTAGCTGTGGGAGTTCTGAGACTGTTCAGGCCATTTTAAATCTGAAAAATTCTGAGTGTTCCCGGTCACCAGTTTCCCTGGGATGTGTGGAAGTTTGCGGTGCCAGAGACAGCTATTTCAGGAGCTACAGCATTTCATCTACTTCGTATATGTGTAAAATTCCTTTTGATTCCATTGTCATTTTATGAAAGTATTTGGAAATTTAGCGATTTTCGCGCCAAAAATCTTCACAGGGCCGCACATGAGAACTACGTACAACTGGGGGCTGAGTTACAAGTCTTCAAGTTGTACTCGGGCTGGGAGCAAAATTCCAGCCTCTCAGCTTCTCCAGTTCCCAAGTTAGCGATTTTCCCACCAAAAAAAATTGAACGGGGCCGTACGTAAGAACTACGCACACCCAGGGGCTGAAATCTTTGAGTTCTATATGGGCGGAGAACATCCCTTCAAAATTTCAGCCTTCTAGATTTTCCAGTTCCCGAGCTCGCGATTTTCCCGCCAAAACCTTCTCGCGTTGGTACGAGGGGCTCAGACGAGCAAGAGGGTGCATACCGCAGTCCTGCAGTGGCACTTAGGCGGGAACCCACTGACAAAATTTTTGCGCCGGAACTTGCCTGGTTTTCGAGTTGAAGCACCCGGACAGACACACACACGCACACACACAAACACCCACACATACACACACCGGGGCCATCACAACAAGCGATTTTGCACACGCATATATGCAAAATTGCATAAAAATGAACGAATTTAAAGCGGAATGGAAAAAAAAGCCACGTTTGATACAATATTTCGAAAAATTTGCAAATTATTTCAAGCTTTTCTACAAAAGCTTAGGGCTTATGTGAACTCATTCACCTGTATGGAGTGATTTTTTTGCATTAACAGTGGCAAAGAAACTGTGTTGTGAGAGTAAAATCATGTAGAAGCCTCAAATATTAGAGTGCTCTACGATGCCTAAAATCCCGAAGTATTACAAGAAAACAAAAACAGTAAAATAATCTCACCTCTTCCAACAAAATATATTTTTTGTTTGTTTTCTCGTCCCTGACAGTAACATAAATGAGATCCGGGTGCACAGCAATGCATAGATTACTGGGCAGTGTCCATGGTGTCGTAGTCCATGCCACCAGTTGTATTGATGGGTCCACGTCTAACGTGAAACCAACAACAACTGAAAAAT